CTTCAGAGAAGATGGAGGACAATTTATCAACCGTCATATTGAAATTATCCGGAATAAGCGTTTTTGACTTATGTCTTTGATTTTGATCCCATTACCATGATTACCAGAAATTTTAAAGGAATTCTTAGAAGTAGGGGTAAGAGGAGATACCAGGTGACAAATTACGACCCATATCATGCCTACCCGGTATAATCAAATTGAGGCTAGAACGACTCATGAATGGTAACGAATGTAACAGACATCCTTGGACATCCTTTTCCACAAAGTCACAATGGGAATTTACACTTTTTAATGCTGAGATTGATAGTTTATCCATACATTTTAAGAAAATAGGTATGTCAAAGAAGATGTTAAGCCAAATATTGACCTGATAGCTCAAAAAAAAAAATTCGAATTTTCTCTCTACAGTCCTAGTTGCCCCTTTAATTACCATCCTCCAGAAGTTCAGAGTTCCAAAAATAATCTACTAAGTTTCTTCCTGGAGTCCTGCATTCAGAGGATGATAGGAAAAACTCTCTTTTAATAAACAAAGTTAAACAAATGCAAAGGGTATAAATTAATATGTCATTCAATATATTGTAGCCCTAACCATACAGCCTACTTTATCATCCTCATATATATAATGTATATATTTTACATTATTTTGTTGTGTATACAATGATTTTCCCTATCAATGCACTTTCTTATACAATTTATGTACACAATGAACCAATATATATACATGTGCAGGATTCTATACACTTCTAACATGACAAATTCTTTGAAAACATCAAATGTGTTTATACTGTATAATCTGAGAATGAATCTGTATAAATAGTTTAAATGGAATTATTTTATGTAAAATTAAAACAAAGTAGCACAAATGTAAATGTACATACATGTAAAAGTATATAAAATGCAGTAATAGACTCTCAGATCAAAAAGTAGTAGAAACAAGTTTAAGTTTACACAAAATGTCACCACCTTATTGTATGTATTTGAGAGACATTACTAACACTGGTGCTCCACTCAATTACGCGGATCGCTTCCGTAACAAGATGTCAGAACCTCAAAAGTATTTTTCTTTTTTCCTTACGTCACGCAACATTCCCACAACATTTTTATCACAGGAGGTGTGTGTCAGGATCATGTGTTTGAGAAAATGTACATGTTTGCGACCAATGTCAGATACTCAACCCTGAGCCAACAGGGGTAACCACTACAGCCGAAATAGCGAACGGCTATCAAGGGTCGTTACAATTGTTCAAATGTTAATTTACATTTTTACTGTACTGTTATATATTATATCTTCTGTAGATTCATATATTATTGAACATATTTGCTGTACAATCACAATCATAATGTATAGACTAGTACTTCACATACCTCATTTATAAGATACATCATTTATTTTGACTGGAATCCATTTGACATTACCGTCCACACTTTACTATTGCAATAATTACATTTATAAACCCTTACAATATGACATATTATTTTATAATATAATTATACAATTAAATTTCAACCTTTTGCAATTTCTCATTATAAATACAGGAAGAACTTAGATATCTACCTCTAAGAGGTCATTAAATACTTAACTTTTTAAGTTAACATTGTGCCAGTTAATAATTTAATGTTTGATTTGAATAATCTCTATTAAACAGTAGCACCATGTACACTGTTCCACAGCTGGATGACTCTAACTGCAGTTAGTATCATTCAAAATGATGGCCAATACTGTTTCTTTTTCAATAAACCTCTGATTTCAGCTAAACTAAACTCAGTTTCATGAACCATGTATCATGTATAAATACTGACAACATGTCAATCTATAAACATTAGGTCGAAACATATGTTTATTGAAACCATGTTGACTTATCAACATTAGAAAATGTAGATATTTAGATGCCATTTAAATAGGATGGCATGGGACCCCCTAAAGAGTCCATCCAGAAGGTTTTTTTTCATCTTAAAATGTTTGATTGAAATTCTCCTTTTTCACATTCTGGCAAGAACTATTTTGCTCTGAAGTTGAATTATCTTTTTCTGCTTCTTTATAATGAACTTTAAAATGAGTTTTCAAGTTCGGCTTGGTGTGAAACTGTCGTTTACAGATATGACATTGAAAAGGTTTTTCTCCAGTATGAAATCGAAGGTGGACTTTAGCATTTGTTTTCCGGTTAGTTACTTTACTGCAGACCATACACTGATACAGTCAAATATTGCCTGGGCCTAGGAACTCTTTCACCATATTGTCGAATAGCATCACAACGTATTCACCTGTAAATACACAATATATACCTGTAAATACACAACATATACCTGTAAATACACAAGACACAGAGTGATAACATATTAAAAATGGCCACCTTATAAATTACCCATCCAAAAAAGTTTAATGTACAGTTCTCACACATGGATGAATTTGATACTAGCAAGCAAAACTCATAATGCCTAGTTTTGAGACTCACTAATGTTAACAATATTAGGCAGGGCAGAATATGCTTAAAGCACATAATAACCATACTAAAAATATGCTTTTAAAGATAATTAGCAAAAATATATTTTACATCTCTGCTAATATTTCTTTAATTTTAATGATATAAGTTTTATATTGCAAAATGAAATCAGACCTCAGGTCATTGAATAATTACTTAAGACGTAGATGTGTCTAAATTGTCTGAGATCCCTTTTTGGCAGATAACATTAAACAAAAGGTTATCCTGAGATAAAATTTCTTTTGTGTCTTCTTTAATTCATCACATACATAAACAAGCAAAATGGCATTTGAATTTTTCACATCAGCACAAAAAATCAGTCCAAAGTAAGAACTGCAGTCTATTAAGTTTTTTAAATTCAGTTTTAACTGTATTACCACAATATAATTTTGTTTGTTCCAATTATATCTCCGAAGTCCGAACTGGTACTTTTGGAACAATGTTGAATATGACTAATGGTGGATCCTTATTATGTGTCACTGACTCAACTTTGGGGTATGACTGATTCCACTGACATCAATATCACTTATAATCCATCATATTTATCAAATACAATACAATACAATGGTAGATCCTTAATTTGTGTTTCTGACTCTGATTCCACTAAGACGTCAATATCTCTTATATCCATCATTTTTGTCGAACAAATTTTTATTTTAAAAACTTTTTAGTTAATTTTTACATTGGCTTTAGTTTAGCAGACCCTATCAAGGAATGTAGCAAAATATTAGCAAACGTGTCATTTCTGCCTTGGTCACCAGCTTGTATCAGAGTCTATCTAGCAGGCGCAACTCTTAAATTAGCACAGGTATGTCATAAAATATCACAAACACTAATATGGTCACATGATCTATCACTTTGATTCATGAGAATCATTATTGGTCAATTTCATCTTCATGTGAATCCTTACATGATTCCTCAAAGTTTGACTATGGGTAAATCTCTTTTCACAAACATGACAAGCATATGGCTTCTCTCCAGTATGAATCCTAATATGCTGCCTAACATTACTGAAATCTTTAAACACTTTACAGCACATACGACATTTGTGCGTTTTCTTTCCATCATGTTCTGATATAGATGTTTCGATTAATTCTTTGTAAGAGGTGTCCAATTGCGAGTTCCCCACATCAAAGGAGATCACATCGCGGCCAAAAAGTATCTCTGCAATGAAAGATAAATTTTTCATTTTTCTGTCAGTGGAATCATGTACAGGGTGTCCAAAAACAGGACCAAAGGAAAGTCAATTAACTTGGTCAATATTGCATATTCTGCCTTGATGTTACAGAACCATATATACATGTAGTTCATTTAATGTGAATTCTGTACCTGACAAAACATGCTCCTTAGCAGGTACCTATCCTCTATGTATATTTGTATAGAGAGAGGAGAGGTGCCCACTTTGAGCATGCTAATGTAAGGTACTGTATTTTTTGACCCAATGGACAGATCATCAAACAAAATTCACATTGAATGAACTAAATAATTCTGAAATTTCAAGGCAGAATATGCAAGATTGACTGATTGACCAGGTTAATCAGCTTTCCAGTCTCACTCCAACTCTCCAGTCCTGTTTTTTGGACATACTGTATCTTTGGCAATAATTTTATTCCAAGTGATCTATACTCATCCAATTTAATTATTTTTATTTTTTGTATTTTATTTCCAGAATTTATTATTTTGATAAACTGATCCTGTTAGCACCTCAGCCAATATACTATACTATCGTATGATCTGTAAAATGAAGCACTCCGATTAGTCAGTTCTCGTCTGTACCAATTTGTATTCTTACTGAGATTGTCTCCATTGATCATCTCTGTAGCAATACAGAAAATATTGGTACAAAGGGGACAATCTCAGAGCAAGTCAGAATTTTCTAGGGATTATCTCCTAATTGGTCTAAGATCACATGAGAAAAATGTTATAGAATGATTTGAAGTCTCGAACCAATACAGAATTTCACGAGCACAGTATATCCTGAATTGCACTTCAAATCATTCACTAACTTATAACCAATACCTGCTTACAGGCTTAGGTAGTTTGGTTGGGTGAGTAATTTTATGTGTATGTTATATAGTGGGTGTCTCCAATATACTCAAATTTGATTGGTTAAGGGTTGTCAATGGTTTTGATTATTGAAAGCCGTGACTGCTCTCCCCTAGTTGTATATTGTTGCCAATACTATTTGGAGCGAATTCCATATTTGCTGATATAGAATATGACATAATATGTAAATCTGTGTATAGAATGTATTAATATAGACCTAAAACAGGTGTTTACTATTTTTCATACTTATTATTAAGCTTGTATCACAATCAATAAACAGTAAAACTACATAACACGTATACGAAAATATACATTAGATTACTAAGATTACTTTAAGTACACCGAATGCACCAAGAATTCACACAAATTTTAGACAAAAATGAAATTGTGGAGTAAAATAAAACATTCTGTTAAAAATAAACAATAAAATCAAAATAGATCGATCAGATCAGATCAAATAATACTGTACAAGTTTTGGTGTATATTGCGGCAAAATTGCTTTAATAGAATACATCATAACATGTCAATATATGATTGCATTTTCTTTCACAGCTCATACCTATTCTATTTGAACACTGCTCATTTTATTGTATTTCTCTTTAAATTAGAGTATTATCTAAATGTTTAACCATCTAACTGCTTATTAGTGAGTATTTCTCATTAATTCAAAGTACATGTGTTATCCAAATGCCTGTTTTATCTATTCATTGCAGGGAATTCCATTTTTTACACTAAGTTCATATATATACCTAGGGTACTCAATTCTAAACATGGCTACCAGGAAGTTGAACACTTATACTCATCCATTATGGGGTATCATTTGATTTTACTGATGTCCTAGTGTATCTCATATTTTTCATTTTTATCATATAAAGTTGACACGTTTAACGCTAAATAGTACCAGCTGATGACATCTCATTAGTGTCAGTTGACATATAACTAGTGTCAGTTGACACTGGGGGAATATTTGCCCCAATATAGTGTCTTTTTTGATGTGTCTTAAGGTTCTGACTTTTATTGAATGCCTTTCCACAGACATCGCATGTATATGGTTTCACCCCTGTATGAATCAAAAGATGTTGCTTGCAATTGCTTCTATCTTTGAACGATTTCAGACATGTCGGACATCGAAACATTTTTTCCATGTTGTCTTCCGAGTACACAATCTCCAACGTTTCAGTATTTTTGAGTGACTTTTTTCGTTGTTGTAAAGGGCTGGAGATATCGGGTGACCATATTTGGAATTCCGGACTGAGCATCTCTCCTGGAATTATAATTTATTCCCCATGAGTAAAAGTCTCTTGAAAGTCATGATTTGTATTATGCAAAATTAAGTGGAATGGAATTTTTCTGTTAGCGAGAGCCAGGACAGTAAAACTGGGAAGATAATATGAAAACATTTAGCAGTCATGCCCATTTGATAACCTGGACAATAACTTGAGATTAGTCAGCCATTTCATTAGTGTACAGGGTGGGCCAAAAATGTTAATATTTTTCGAAGAACTTTTGCAATTTTTCATGAAATGGGATAAATAAATCTTCAATGGTTTCTGAATAAGAAAGGTTAACATACACTAGAAAATAAAAACAAATAAATTACAAGAACACAAATGTGTACAATATGTCCCCACCAAGTGGTGAAATGGTTATCCTGAAAATGAGTAGACAAGACTTTACCAACACAATTTGAGGACGGAAAATCCAAAGTGGCCACCTTAAAATTTACCCAGAATGCCAGAAATTCAGTCAGTTCTAGATTTTCATACTAAGAACCACCCCTGAAAATTTGAAATTGATCCGTCACACAGTTAACCAGAAAACATATAAACAAGACTTTACAGACAAGATTTCAGGATGGAAAATCCAAAATGGCTGCCTTGACATTTACCCAGAATGTCAAAAAACTAATCTGTTTGTAGATTTTCATACTAAGAATCATCCCTGAAAATACCAAACGGTCCACCTGAAAACGGGTAGACAAGACTTTACAGAAAAGATTTTAGGAAAGAAAATCTAAAATGGCTGCCTTAACATTTACACAGAATGCAAAAAACTAATCAGATGTAGATTTTCATACAAAGAATCATACCTGAAAATTTGAAATTGATCTATCAAAACGTTCACCTAAAAACGTGTAGACAAGACTTTACAGGCATGATTTTAAGACGGAAAATCCAAAATGGCTGCCTTAACATTTACCCAGAATGCCAAAAAACTAATGAGATCTAGATTTTTATACTAAGAATCATCCCTGAAAATTGAAAATTGATCCATCAAACGGTTCACCTGAAAATGCGCAGACAAGACTTCACAGACAAGATTTTAGGACCGAAAAATCCAAAATGGCCGACAATAAAAAAGTCCTTATGAGTTTTTGCTGATTTCTTTTTACAAAATTATCACATATAACTACTGTTAACAATAAAGTAGGCTTTTACAACAAAGTACATCTGAAATTATTTATAAAGCTACTAAATAGTTAAAGTATGAAAACTCAAAAACACCATTCAATATGATACAAAGTATTATCACGCGCTAACTTTTCTTAAGACATTCAAAATGGCTGACATGACTGAGCTAGCAGGTCCAAAACCTAATCAGATCTCGAATGAAGTGAGCTGAACAAGATGTTAAAGTTTTAAAAGCAACTGTGAAGTAGTTTTTCTTTAAGTTTGCAGACAAGGATTTTAGCATTTGACTTCAAAATGGCCGACAGGAAGTAGGTTTCGAGTTAAATTTTTCTCATCCACATCTATAGGCACTCATAAGTTATCCCTGAAAATTTGAAGGTGATATCTGTAGCGGTTTTGGAGAAAACTCCCGGACGTACGGACGGACGGACAGACGGACGGACAGACGGACGGACAGACGGACGGACAGACGGACGGACAGACGGACGGACAGACGGACGGACAGACGGACGGACGGACAGACGGACGGACAGACGGACGGACAGACGGACGGACAGACAGTCGGACGCGCCTAGGCCGACAATATGGCCCCACACTATGTGGTGGGGACATAAAAATATTCAGTTGTCACGACAATATTAAAAGACAAAATCATATAAGTAAAATGAAGAAAAACTGATTCAGCATCAAGAAAGTGAGTAGTAAAATTTGCCTTTCGAGGAGAAACTTTACAAAATTGCTTGTAGTAAGGAAATGTAGTTACTGGTGTTAGATTAAGCATAATAATTATACAACTTGTTTTTACAATGTCCTTTAGGATTCACATTAATTCTTTGCAATCTTTCTGATCAACATAATAGACATGTGACTCATTCATTTTCACCCTGAATTTGGCCTACTACTAATATTTGGTTTTACTTTTTGATAGCTTTTAAGGATACTATGATAACCTTTGTCAACCCATTTAAACCTCATTTCATGTGGTACATGGTTTGTGTTTATAAGTGTACTTATCTATGGGTAAGTAGTATTCAACATACCGTATTATAAATCCATAATACAAGTGAAATTGAGCATCGTACAAAGTGAAATCCTGATATCAACATTTTATAAATAAGAAATATATAGTCAACAATATAATTCTATTGGATCCTGCCCTAACTTAACTCATTCTTTTCTTGTTTAACAGCTAATATAATATCACATCCATTAAAACAACATAAATAATGCAGAGAATCCTCAAAATATAATCCTTATAATTATCATTACTTATAGAGATCAATACATGGTACCAACAGACATAGCATGCCATATCTGCCAACCTACCGTATTTTTACGGGAATCTACTGTAAATTTTTCGTTTTTCCGTAAAAAAATGACAAACTACCGTAATAAAATACAATTTTTTTCCCGTAAAAACGCCCGTAAAAAAATCTACCGTATTTTTTTCGTAATCTACCGTAAATTTTCATTTTAAAAAACTCGTTTATTCCATGAGAACGGCCGTAAAATCTACCGTAAATTTTTGAAAATCTACCGTAAATTTTCGAAAATCTACCGTATTTCTGCTAAAATCAACATTATTTTTGTTCAAACTACCGTAAAATTTCCCGTTATTGTTGGGAAATGCTGAAAAATTGAAGTCTCCCTGTACTGTCCCTGTACTATTCCTTCAACAACCCGAATATAAATAGGTATCGGCAGGTCTGTGGTTATCAGGTTATTGCGCATTTATCTAAGTAAGCTTGCGTGTAATCAGTCCAAACACCAACTACCACTAGCTAGAAAGAATTCTTTCTGCCATATATGATTTTTGTAGTTAACCAAACCCTTTTGTACACAGATCTTTATTCCGAATGCAACAAAAATATGATTTTAGTTGCGCTTCATCTAAATAAATGAGTGGAAATGCGTATGCAGATTTAGCGTATGAAATATGCGTAGATTGATTTGTTATGATCAGTAATGAACGCCACATATACATGTTTAATCAATTTGTTTACAGTACGATAAAATGTTGTATTTTTTATCAGAACACATTATCAGAAACAAATACATAATTAAAAAATAAAGCATCGAATTCTGGTTTATTATAAAAGTATTGTGATATCCGAATCTGAACGATGTCTCAGGGGAAAGGTTTCAGCAAATGCTCATAACAGATTATTTTTGAAAGACAATTTACCATATGATTCCAATGTTATATGAACATTATGTCTGTCATTTCAATTCGTTAAAGTGATAGATCATCTTAGATGGTGAGTAAAAACGTGTAAAATCCATATTTTGTATTTCAGTAAATGTTTCATTCATGGTATTTCCAAACATCCTGATATCTAAAAAAAACTGGTTAGAAGGTGAATAAAAGTGGAGATATGAATATTGTGTTCGTATTTTGAATCAATCTAGATTTATTGTAAAAGAGTTGTTAAAGAGTTGTATATGTACATTTTGCTGAAACATTAAAATCCAGAGTTGCTGTCAGTCCATTGTAGGCATGGCAAATGAAGAATAAAACGTGTTTAGTCTCTATTTATTCTTGAAAATAGTATATCTATTTTTTCTTGAAAATAATAGTTTCGTATAATTCCCAGGTGGTAGTTCTGATTTAACAACAAAATGACCACGTAAACATTGTATTAATATAGAAAACCACATTGTATAAAGGTTAAACTATCGCATTTTTTCAAAATCTACCGAAAAATACCGCATTTTGGCAAATCTTCCGCAAAAGTACCAGTTTTTCAAAAAATTACCGTAAAAACTACCGCAATTTTCAAAATCTACCGCAAAACTACCGCATTTTTTCAAAATCTTCCGCAAAAGAACCGTTTTTTCAAAAAATTACCGTAAAAACTACCACAATTTTCAAAATCTACCGTAAAACTACCACATTTTTTCAAAATTTTCCGCAAAACTACCGGTTTTTCAAAAAACTACCGCATTTTTTCAAAATCTACCGTAAAACTACCGCATTTTTTCAGAATCTTTCGCAAAACTACCGGTTTTTCAAAAAACTACCGTAAAAACTACCACATTTTTTTTAAAACTACCGTAAAACTACCGTATTTTTCTAAATCTTCCGCAAAACTACCGCTTTTTTCAAATTTCTACCGCAAAATTACACTTTTTTTCAAAAATCTACCCCAAACCTCTGAAACTACAGTATTTTTTTTAAATCTACCGCAAAAACTACCGTATTTTTTTTAATCTACCGCAAAAACTACAGTTTTTTAAAAAATCTACCGCAAAAACTACCGTTTTTTCTAAAATCTACCGCAAAAACTACCGCAATTTTGTTGAAAAATACCGCAAAAACTACCGTATTTTGAAAAAATCTACCGCAAAAATACAGCAATTTAAAAAAAATCTACCGCAAAATTTTGGTCTTAGGTTGGCAGGTATGCATGCAGTCGTGTTCTCAGGGTCTTTCAACATTAAGGCTAGAGTTATTTAACACTATGCTCTAGACGAACAGCTTTGTTGCATCTTATCATGTTTTACAAATGATTAAAAAAAACATGTACATTAAACACTATGTTTTGCCGTTCTTAGGTCATGCTGAAAATGACACTAATTGGGATTTCAAAACCATATAATAATCACAAAATATTACCCTACTGTTAAACTGAAGTTATTTCTTGATTTCAATGTCAGCATCAACAAAAATGGAATGAATCTCGAAATGTCAAATATTTTTAGACATTTCAGTCTTTACTGTAATGTGTTTTGGATTAATGTCATGCACTTAAAGTACTGATACATGTCATAAATGTTAGCAAGTCTCCCACAAAATTACCCACTTTGTATAAAATACCTATGGTTATTGTGATCTTTAATCCCTGTGAAAAAT